TACTTCGCGTCAAAGGCGGCCATATTTACCAAGCTTCGGTTCAAAATCGGCCATTCTAATAATTTACTATCAATGGCGGCATTAATATAGTAATTTTATTTTATTATTATGGTGTCTGTGGTTCATTTTGCGCAATGATTTTATGTTCATTGACATTCAAAATAAGCACAAATTGTAGTTAAATGTCAATTATAAAAATCCTCCCTTAAAGACGAGACTAAACAGTTTTTTTTGATTTGCCAAATATTTGGTTCGCCCTACTTTGCCGCCTTTGATGCTATATGACTCAAATTGACGTCTGTCAGTTTTGTCTTCATAGTGAAGTGACCTGCTTAAAAACATCGACTAAAGTGAATGAATCGATACGGACTTGAAACATAACGTGAATTTAAAAAAATTATCAATCGAATCCCAGTCCCATTATTATTTTTTTCTTTTGTAAATTTAAGGAGCAAAATAAGACAAGTACATAATTTAACAAAAAATGCATTTATTCAGTTGAACTATCAAAACTGTTATTAGTATTGTCATCTTCATCACTGCTGTCAGCACTAAGAGATCTTATTAATTCGTTTTCAATAAATTGTAGCTAACATCAATGATTTTTCTATTTAGTTAATGGAGTTTACTCCTTAAGAATCGATTTGCATATATAAGGGGCCCGGTATGAGAAAAATGTGAGGAGTAAAATCTATCGATGAATGACTTCGTTACGTTTTTGGTGCGCATCCTATGTCGCGCAACTTTGACAAACAAAGATGACGGATTGACATTAATATTTTTTTTTAAATCTGAACTGAATTTAGATATTGTTTCTGATAGAGCAATGGGGACAACGAGGTATGGTACAACCATTGATGCGGTATTTTCAAGATTCGTGAACCACGTATCTACGAACGTCCATGTGTCTTATTTTAGTTAACATAAACCACTTGTCACTGTAATTAATAATGCAGACAATGTTGATTTAATTAATGTTTAAAAAAATGACAATAGTCTGATAATAATAATTACATAATTTATCAACATTCCTAATGATATATTTATGCACATCTGAAATTGACTATTGTAAAAAGTTTAATGTAAAATATTTCGTCGATTAGTTATAATAAATGTATATGAAATGAATAAATATATATTTATATATGTATATTATTTTCATTAATTTGTTAATTTACCCTTTCATACAGTATCAATCTTTTTTAAGTTAAATAAACTCTTTTTGCGTCTGGTTAGACTATCGAACTTAAGGAGTAAACTCCAGTCGTGTGTCGGAGCTGACACACACAATTTTTTTTTGTATTTTTATCGTTAGTTAAAATAATAATAAATATAATTATGTTTTAATTTAATCGCAAAGTGGCTATAAGTAATCATTGCTTTCGATTCAACTTATCAGCTTTCTATTTTTAAAGTAACATCCCTAGTGATTAATAATTAATAGTTTAAAAAAACTAGAAAACACGCTTTTATAAATGCACGTAAAAACCAAAAATAAATATGGATAGTTCAAGTTGTCGCAATTTCTGGGCTGAAGTCTAAACTGTGCTCTTAATTATTATATTTGATTATAAAAGCGTGGGGCGCTGGAACAGGAATAACTTTTTGTATAATTTGCTGAGAAATCAGAAGACTTACGAAGAAGGAAGAGTCCAAGGTTCCATCAGCCACCTTCCAGTCCCATCATCAGACCCGCTCGATGGTACGATGATATTGTATTGTCACATAATCTAATCTATATAATAATTGCTAAGTTTCAAGATGATACACGAATTAGAAGTTTGTGTTATCCAGATTCTTAGATTCCATTACATAGTTACATACAAGTGAACCTAATAAAAGCATGTTAAAAAGAGAAAGGGTTAACTGACGCAGCACTAGACACAATTAAATATGGCAGTTATATGTTACATACTACACTGCGCGGTTTCCCATCGCGGTTTACAGGCGGGAGAAATACGACCGCTGCATGCAGCGTCAAACCGCCGCTGATAACCGGCGTTTTAAACTACATTGGCGGTTTCTCGCTATTGCGTCATTCTGCGCGGGACCTTTTGCGAAGGCGCTCACTCGCGTGCGTCCTTGCGTGGCTCTTTCGCGTCAAAATGTTAAATATGGAGCGATTTTTTTTATATGGAGCGTTTTATTATAGCAATACAAGATCAACTTGCTGGTTCCAGAACACTGGCTCCACCCAAGCATTGCACTTTACTTTGCTTTTTAATAATTCTATTAATATAAGAACTGCAAGCGCAGTTATCATTGGCGGATCCATGTCACACAGCGGTGACACTCTGTACGTGAGAGTTCCAGCGTCAGTGACCTTGAGCAGAAGCGTGTATGCGCTAGGGCTGAACTTGGAATTTAGACTTGTGCCAATGAATATTTATGCATAGTAAGTTATTAAATGTAAACTGATTCAAGGATACTGGGGTAAATAATGAAGGATAGGTTTGATTTTATAATCAATTTTTAATCTTTTAATGTAGGTACTATAACAAATTGCTAACTTTTATATATTTTCTCCTTTTTCGATTCGTTTTATAATTCTTATTATTATCAAAATAATAATAAGATTGCGTAGCGTAGTCAGTCTGTGCGTGCAATGCAGTGCAACGCCATTATTTTACTATTTCGCTACTGCCATCCCTTCGGTCGAGGCAGTCGGCGACTGCCCTCTCCACGCCCCGCGCGCCGCGCAACGCCCCCGCACATCTCCAGACACCCACACATAGCCGCGGGCGATTTTACGAGCACACATGCTTAAGTGTCGCTTCTTTTCGCGTAGTGTATATATTCTGTGTCCATGTTGAAATGAACAAAAGACGACGATAAACCGCGTCCCGTGTAGTTAGATGGTCTGCGGCAGCTTTGTCGCGCGGATACCCTCGTACCCCTTTAGATCAGAAATTATTTATTATGTTTAGAATGGTTTATTAGTGAAAGCAAATCGTAAAATATGTAATTGTAATTGAAAAAAGTTAAGCAACTGTGCAGGTTTTATTTTATGCCCGCCGGCGCCGTTACAAGGTTACGTTTTTGAATTTTGATGAATTGTCAAATGTTACCTTTTAAAATGGCCTGACTATAAGAACACAGTTGCAAGCTTTAAACGAGCATCTAATTTTTTTTTCATAGAGAGAAATATGGAAGCTTAACATAATTATGTTTTTATTTTTTTTTCAATGACCATTGTGCTACAGCGGCCCTGTCGAATTTTCTCTAGCCTTAGGCCGCAAGGCGTGGAAATTTTTCTAGTAAACTTTTCTTTAGATTTAAACTTAACATAAGTTTGTTATTTTATGTATGAGAAATTATGAATAAATATAAAAGAGTAAATACTTGCCTATTTTGTGTTACTCAGGTTTTCTAGATTGGGAGTATTTATCCTTATTTTGGGGAAAAATATGAACTTAGGGAAATTAAATCTGCGGGGAGAACTTTGGAAATCATATTTTTTCTTAGAGCATGCTCAAAGTATTTTTTTTTGGCAAATGGTTGGTGAAAGCCGCCACTTCTAAAATTAAATATAGATACCTTTTGGTACCTAACAAATCTATTAAGGATGATCAGTCACGCTAGACCGTGTCAAGCCTGAACCGTGCTACGGCTGTAATTTATAAACACGTGCCTCGACCGAGCAATTAGGTAGGTACCGTTGCACCGTGATGCAGTTTACTCATACAGATAAAGTAAATAGGGTAAGTGTACTCGTCCAAGCAAAAACGTTTTTTCTTATCTGAGGTATCACTACGATTGCTCGGCGGCACCGCGCGGGCGCTATATTCATGCAACGGGCCGTGGGCCGAGCCGAGGCGGGACCAAATTTTTTCCGAGCGTTGTTCGTTGCTCGGTTGTCAGTCGGTTACCTCCCGGTATAGCTTGAATTTGTCCATAATCCATGTGTAATATATTAATAAATATTAAACTGTGCTACGGCCGACATGGTCTAACGTGAGTCATCCTTGAAAATTTCTCGCATCGTAAATTTGCAATCCAGCGCATCTGTCTAATAGCTAATAACTCAGAAACTATTGATTTATTCCAAAATCTTTATATAACAAATTTTGCTTAGAATCTGTCTCACTATCGATTCCTGGAGTTATTTTTATTAAAATAATTTTCACCCCCGAAAAAGGGTGGCATCTACTCCCAGGGCAAAAGCGCAAGTTGGCAATAAGTCGCTTTTGTTTCCTAAGGTATTTCCCACCTACTCACCAATTTTCATGAAAATCGATGGAGATTCAACGAAATTGGAGGTGAAAACCTTCATTGACAGGACTATATTATTATTATATTTCTATTATAATTAAAAAAAAAATAGAACATTAGTTTTAATAATAACAACTATATTTCTACAAATTTCAAATAATAAATAGAACTAATAAACAATTATTATTAATTTCAGTAGAATACTACTAATAGTAGTATTCTACTAATGAAATTAATAAAAATTGTTTATTAGTTCTATTCTGCATAAAATCAAAATATGCCATACATTTTTCAAGTATATTATTTTAATAATAAATAGCAACTTTTGATACTACCTCTAGTATGTCCATACTTCGTAATTTTATTTTTCGGCATAAAGAGAACTTCGAACTTGATTCAGTTCAGTGTCTTTCTTTTAAAAAAGTTGATAATTTTGATAGTTGGTTTAAAAGTTAAATAATTATACTAATAGAATCTACTTTTAGAATTAACCTAAACAATTTCACTCTTTCTTTGACAGATTAAAGTTGCATAGCAAACTAGTCAAACATCGATTGCGTTTTTACAGAAAATTTAAATTTTGAGTTATTTCTACTTTTGACTAAAGGTCAACTAAAGGTGCGTTTTATTAATAAACACAAAAAAAATTAATATAATTTATTTAAGTAATATTTCATTTCTACTGATACGTAGGTACTTCATTTACATAATTGCTTTGGGTTTCACTTGAAATACAAGATGGAAGAACAAACTTCGGTTATATTATAATAAACATGTACTTATATGACTGAGAAAATATTTATTTTCAATATTTTAAATAGGTAATTGATAATTGAAATTTCATTTAAATTAATGAAGATTATATCAATCTGACGTGAGCTACTTTGTAATCTGAGATAATCTTATAAATTATTTAACTGAGGGCAGACTTCTGTCTATAAATGCACGCATATCTTTAAGTTCCGCCTCCGAAGAGCTATGAGTGAGGCCTTGGTATGTATTGAACTCGATGTTTTTCATGAAGGTCTTGAGGAACGAGGCCGTCATTTGACCCCACTTGAAAGGTACAACCGGATCACAATCACCGTGAGCTTGATAAATCTGTAAATAAAAAAACGAACTGCGTATTCTTTGCTTCAATAGCTTACGTAACTTTTTTTTTTCATGTACATAGGTATCATAATTTAATTTTTTTTGCCTATTTCGTTACCCAATTTTAAGGGCTATATCGAAAGGGTCGGCGTGTCCCCTAGCTAAGCTAACCAATGTAATACGCCGCCCTATCAATCGGACCCTAACTCAGTCTGAAAGTAAAGTTTTTATAAACTTCTCTTAATCGTTCGACAGGTTTTCTAAATCTAAAGGTAAGGTTAGGTGACAAATTATATTTTTTGAGGATCAGTTGAGGAGCTGGCGAACAAAACGTAAATGGTATAATTACGTATCAGCCCCTCTAGCATGACCACCGAAACGGGATATGTTAAAGCGTTATATCGGCATTAACTGTCAGACTACTGTCAAACTCCACTGTAGTCTGACAGTTAATTCCGATATATCGCTACTGGCCAAACTACTTTTTCTTGTTTTGGGCCCGTTGAATTTTATCATAAATAATTTTCAATCAAAACCGCCTAAAACAGTGTTAAAATAACAAATTTTATAAATTAAAAACCGGCCAAGTGCGAGTCGGACTCGCGCACCGAGGGTTCCGTACAAACCTGTCGATTATTATAAAATATTTTTTATTGAAGTTATACTTCTTTAGGCGCGTTATGAAAAAATGATGAGAGTGAAATTTTAAGATGCGCGCGCATCACTGTAAAACAAAATTTTAACAGCATGAAGTTGGTCGCTTTAGCGACCAACTTCATGCTTTACTTTTTGTGTTTACCGCACATTAAGAAAATCTATCAACAAAATAGAAATAGAATATCTATTTAGTGGGTGCTAACGACTGCATTGTGAAGGCCTATCAAAAGTATTTATTAATCTGGAACAACGGAACCAAAGCGCGATTCAGGAGACTACAGCGCCATCTCTTGACCATTGGTGTAGTAGAACCAAAAACCACATCTTTATTTTTTGTAATAAAGTAACAGTTATAGGTATTCATATTTATAATATTTATCCACATGTTTCTAGTTTGTATATTCGGAATACGTGTTTGAGTTTCATACAAGTGCAAATCACATATGTTCTAATAAATTATATTCAGTAGCGATTTTAATTGAATATTTTGATTTTTTTTTTTTTCAAATTAAAACTGAACTTTATTGACTGTGTCCTTTTCCAGACTTTTTATTAATTTATTGTTATTAATTATTTGCATGCAATTAAAAACTAATTTTAAACGATGCCAAAGAAGGATAACTTCTCACGCGCCTACATAAGTACACGCACCCATTTTTATATGAAATTTCGCCAGTGTCTCTACTCTATTTCATTTTCGGCACATTAACTTCGGAACCATAAACAGTTTTCGTGAACGAATGGAATGAGTCACGTTTGTGAGTTCTTTTTATCTCTACTTTTAAGAAAACGTTTTTTTTACTTGGAAACAATACAGGTAGTTTACGGCAAATTTTTGATGACATTAAAAGAACCTTCTTTGACAGTGTTAGCCGACTAATTTGTAGAGTCGATACAATCTACTGTATGTCAACCTCAATTTATCGTTTAATACTATGAAGTATCGAAATAAAAAATAAAAAAATGGTTTATTTGTTAGTTTTACATGCTAAAAATGTTACTCGAGCTAAGCAGCTATTATTAAAAATACTCTTGCAAGTATTTTAGGCTTAATTAAAACAAAAATCTCAAAACGAAAATGAAAAGGTAACACTTTTCATTTCGTCGATTTAAGGTTAAAATTTCGAACAATTATCTGTCAAATGCAACTTTTACTTCGAAAGTTTTGTGCATTAGAGTAGGCTTGGAGAATTTAAATGTCAAAATATTTCGGACGAACGAATTTTCGAAATGAAAAGGAAACAGAGTAGGGAACGTGCGAAATTTCGATCGAAATTTCGTTTTTCGTTGAAATAGAGTAGGCCTCCTGGTAGAAGTGTAGCTATATTGGTCGGGAATGGTATATGAAGTGATGTTATGTCATTAAAAAGTAAGGATCTATGGAACAGAGGACAGGAAAACACAATGTGATCAACATTTCCCTCATCGAACCCGCAGTCACATCTAGGATTTTTTATTATATTGAGTTTGGCAAGATGGCTTCCCATCTGACGAATGCAAGGTCTCATTCTATTAATGGACGCCTCCATCTTACCAAACTTCATATTGAAAAACCAAGGTTTAGAAGGAGTGTGAGCCTGAATTGCAGCATAAAATTTACCTTTTGTTAGTTTACTATATTTCCACATTTGTTCCCACCCTTCACGCAATAGAACAGATTTAAGAATAGCTAATAAATCTAAACAATAGTTCTGGAACTGAAAAACATCGCCACATGATATAGCATCTCTTGCCAGTCTGTCAGCTAGTTCATTTCCAGCTATGCCGATATGGGCAGGAATCCACGCAAATTCTATATGCTGACCATTTTTGATACATTCCTGTGTCATTGTCTTATATTAAAAATTATAAGGGAATAATTTTTCAATTTAAATGCGAACTTTTCTAGTGATTGTAAGGCACTTTTTGAATCTGAAAATATTACAGCAGATTTAAGCTTCTTGATTGATTTTAATGTATTCAACTGCTTTAAAAATACCAAAACATTCTCCTGCCTAAACCGACGATTCTGGAGGAAGTTTAACTTTTTGCACTATATTAAACTGAGAATGATAAACCCCTACCCCAACACACGTAGTCGATAAATGTTTGGAAGCATCACAAAATATATGGTGGAAATAATTAAATACAGTATTAATAACATGAGAAAATTTTAATTTAGCATTCAAATCATATTTGTCTACTAAATCATAATGCACGACAGGAGAATAAGTTAAAGCTTCAAACGGAACATTAAACATAGGAAGGAAATTAGAACTGTATGTGGGGGCAAAAAGTGAAGCAAATCTTCTATAACTAATTAAAAGACATGGTAGACATTTATTGGTGCAATAACTAGAAGTTTGAATTTTTTCATCGAGTACTATAAGTAAAGAAAGCAATGGATTATTAGAAAATTGCATTGTACGAACAAAGAACTTGTCGCAGATAAATTGCCGTCGCAATACTAAAGGAGGTTCACAGCATTCTACTTGCATAGAGTTTAAGGGACTCGACTTCATGGCTCCCAATATTATTCGAAGGGCTTTACTCTGAATTTTATCTAGTTTATTAAAGGCTGTTATATTTCCTGGTTCTAGCAAAAACGAGCCATTATCTAAAATGCTTCTTATTAGAGCATTATAGATCAATTTCAAAGAATACGAGTGAGCACCCCACCAAACTCCTGACAAGCACCTTAGCATGTTCAATAAGCGTTCACATTTGTTAACAACGTATTCGCAATGGCGGTTGCCAGTAAGCTTAGAATCCAAGACGACGCCCAAAAATTTGATGTGGTCCGCAACTGGAATTAAAGTGTTATCGTAAGTAAGAGAAATAGGATTGACTTTATTCTTACGTGAAAAAATAACAACAGAACTCTTTGAAGCAGAGAGTTCCAAGCCATTAGAATCCATCCAACTTGCAATGCCGCTGACAAAAACTTCTGCGACTGAGCGATGGATTTATTAATATTATACAACAAAAGGTCATCGGCATACTGAAGTATCTTAATATTGTTGTTTGAGCAAATAGTGTTTTCTAAATCGTGCGTGTAAATATTATATAAACTAGGACTAAGCACAGATCCCTGTGGAAGGCCTTTAGAAACAGTCCTGGAAAAGACAACATCATCGTTGTATATGTTTATAATACAGTCTGACAACATTTTGATAATAATATTAGTGATGATAGGGGGAACATGTAAAGATTCTAGTTTACGTTTGAGTATATCCAATAAAACATTGTCATTCGCGGAAGACAAGTCAACAAATACAGCTACTAACGAATTGTTTTCTGCAAAAGCTTTGCGAATATCTGTGGTAAGGATAGAAATATTATCAAGAGTGCTTTTACCTTTCCTAAACCCATACTGGGTATTAGAAAATAATCCTTTACTCTTAATAAATCATTCTAAACGATTTTTAATCAAATGTTCCATTAATTTTAACAAATCTGACGATAACGCGATGGAACGATATGAAAAAGCTTCAGATGGATTTTTTCCCGGTTTTAAGATGGGCAACACTGTTTGCTATTTCCAAGATGAGAAATATTACCCGAGATCATCACAGAATTTATTACGTCTAAATAATATTGTAAAGTACTGTTGCAAACATTTTTAAAGTAAGCATACGGGATGCCGTCACTCTCAGGAGCAGAATTCTTACAATTGAGGATTATACCCTTCAATTCGTTTAATGTAAACAACGGAGTATCAATGTCAGATAGGTTATGTGATATGAAAGAAGGAATGTTATTAGCTACCCAAGGGGGAGCTAATTTGTCAAGAAACGGATTAATTAAAGCAGGTGGGATTGATGAGGTTGAATTATTAAAGGAAGACGATTTAAATCTTCTAATATTTTGCCATACAAGACTAGAATTGGGAGAAATCGAATTGCAGAATCTACGCCACCCATCGAATTTCTTTTGTTTAAAGAGCTTTTTGCATTTTTTTATTATTCTGACATACTTTCATAATTACTTATAGTCATATCTGCTTTATACCTTCTCTCAGCAGCTTTTCTTTCATTTACAGCCAGAGTATAAGCGCTTGTTGATTTACTTCATTTAGAATGTTTATAGATGGGTGAGAAATATATATGGAAACAAAACATATGTTATAGACCTTAACAGCCGCTATAGAAATATTTTCATGATGAGTGGGTAAAGAAATAGGAGTAAAAAGGACTGTTTTTTTAATGAGAATAGCTACACCATCGCAGCCATCATGCCTATCTTCACGGAGAGCAATATATCCATAAGCTTTAAGCTTATGCTGAGATTTTAGCCATGTCTCAGATAAAACAAAGATAAAAGGATCATATTTATTAAGAAGGAAAATTACATCACTTATTTTGTTATGAATA